TTTAGACCCTTTCTGAGAATACTACATCTAATAAATATCAGTTTCATTCCAAAGCTTTGATAATGTTTCTTGTTATGTATTGACTACATTCTAGCAATCCACTAAAAATAAAGTTATTTTGAGAAAAATAGGAGTAATGGATCTATTGCCGTTATTAAATGATTATTACTTTTTTTTATTGGCAGTGAGAACAATAATTTGGCAATTAAAGAGATATGCTGAATTGTCGAATACAGAATATACATTGTTCTCATATTGATTCAAATATGTCGTATTACTTTGAATATAACTAGGACATATTTTCTTGAACTGTTCTCTTTGGAATAATTTGACAAGATAACCTTTTTTTCGACTCCCCCCCTTCTCTCTCTCTCTCTCTCTCTTAGACTGTTAATCTGTACATGAGCCACTGAAGCAGACTACATGCATATTTGCAATAATGCGATAATTATTGCGTTTAAACGCAATAAAAAGATTCTTTTTTTTTAACTGACCTAACCGGGCTATCGTATTCGTGTGAGTGCATCTTTAGGGGGAGTAAACTGGTTTGTCTCCAAATCATACAATGCAGTATGGTTCTCCCTAATTCTGTTCTTGCGCGACGGAGGGAATATTGTAACGATTTTTAAGCCACATTTTACATGATCGACTGGCTTTATTTTTAAATTGAATACTAGTAATTGTTGAGAGCAGGGGAGAGAGAAAGAGCAGGGGAGAGGAGGAGATAGGGAACAGAGATAGGAGGTAGATTGGGCAGGAGGAGAGGAGGGAGAGTTGGTTGGGAGAGAAGAGGGAGAGTGAGCTGGGAGAGAGGGAGGAGAATGAGCTGGGATAGAGGGAGGAAAGTGAGCTTGGAGAGAGGTAGGAGAGTGAGCTGGGAGAGAGGGAGGAGAGTGAGCTGGGATAGAGGGAGGAAAGTGAGCTTGGAGAGAGGTAGGAGAGTGAGCTGGGAGAGAGGGAGGAGAGTGAGCTGGGATAGAGGGAGGAAAGTGAGCTTGGAGAGAGGGAGGAGAGTGAGCTGGGAGAGAGGGAGGAGAGTGAGCTGGGATAGAGGGAGGAAAGTGAGCTTGGAGAGAGGGAGGAGAGTGAGCTGGGAGAGAGGGAGGAAAGTGAGCTTGGAGAGAGGGAGGAGAGTGAGCTTGGAGAGAGGGAGGAGAGTGAGCTTGGAGAGAGGGAGGAGAGTGAGCTGGGAGAGAGGGAGGAAAGTGAGCTGGGAGAGAGGGAGGAAAGTGAGCTTGGAGAGAGGGAGGAGAGTGAGCTCGAAAAGAGGGAGGAGAGTGAGCTTGGAGAGAGGGAGGAGAGTGAGCTGGGACAGAGGAGGAAGAGTGAGCTGGGACAGAGGAGGAAGAGTGAGCTGGGAGAGAGGGAGGAAAGTGAGCTTGGAGAGAGGGAGGATAGTGAGCTGGGAGAGAGGGAGGAGAGTGAGCTGGGAGAAAGGAGGAAGAGTGAGCTGGGAGAGAGGAGGGAGAGTGAGCTGGGAGAGAGAAGAGGACGAGTGAGCAGGGAGAGAGAGGAGGAAGAGAGAACAGGGAGAGAGGAGGGAGAGTGAGCTTGGAGAGAGAGTGAGCTGGGAGAGCAGGAAGAGTGAGCTGGGAGAGAGGGGGAGAGTGAGCTGGGAGAGGAAAAAGTGACCTGGGAGAGAGGGTGGAGAGTGAGCTGGGAGAGAGGGAGGAAGAGTGAGCTGGCTGAGCAGGAAGAGTGAGCTGGGAGAGAGGGGGAGAGTGAGCTGGGAGAGGAAAAAGAGTGAGCTGGGAGAGAGGAGGGAGAGTTAGCTGGGAGAGAGGAGGGAGAGTGGGTTGTGAGAGATTGCAGGGAGGGTTGCCTGGGAGAGAGGAGGGAGAGTAGCTGGGAGTGGAGGAGGACAGTGCGCTCGGAGAAAGGAGGGAGTTGGGCTGGGAGAGAGAGGGTAAAAGAGTGGAGAGTGTGGGGGAAAAGAGTATACGGGGAGAGAGAGTGCAAGGCAGGGAGATTTTGATAGTGGGCAGAAAGGAGAGAGAGTGGATATAAAATGAGTACATGTATTGGCAGAGAGGGAATGGAGGAGAGGTTTCTTTTTTGTTAACGTCCCTCTAGATTTTTTTTACTCATATGGAGACGGCGCGATGCACTTGCCGGTGAAGAGCTGCAAATTTTGACCTATTCTCGGCACTTAGGGCCATTTAGCAATGAGGGATCTTTTCCGTGACAGCACCTACTGCGACACGGGACATCAGTTTATACGGTCTCATCCGAAGGAACGGTCTCCACTTCCTACAGTAGGATTCGAACCCGCGACGTAAGTGCCAACTCCTTACTCCGCTTCTCTATGGCAGATATATTCTACCACTACCACATGCGGGCAACTGATGGAGGAAGGGGGAACAAAGAAAAGAATTAACAGTAATGTTTTAATATAGGGGTATTTGCACTCCCCTTGTTATAATTTACGTAAACTAGTCACATACATTGTTATGAACTATTCATTTTTACCAACAAATACATAGCCTTTTTCATTTTAATTATGGGAAAATTCAGTATTATAATTTACATCACCTGTTAACCGGTATTAATCAATCGATCTGTTGATATATTAAATCAGAAATCAATTCACCGCCAGTATTTTATGATCCAGTCTTTGTTTCCTCAATGATCAATAACAAAAAACGAACATTTTCCTGGTTCTGTCAATTACTTCTTTCGAAAACCTGTTGTTTAAGTCTTTTGCATTAGTGTGACACATATGTTTGGATTGAATAAAACTACAAATTAATAGAATAGTTGTGTTTAAGATAAAATAAAAGAACTTGAATTAGGCAATAGTTAATTAACCACCACGATCGAATTTTTAGAATGCAAATGTAATGCTGGCTTTTATGCTTAAGAATTTAGGAGCTATAGAAGACATGTACATGTATATCCAAACATACCTTAACATGATATCGTCAGGTGTGTCATGATGTCTATCAGTTTGTCTGTGGGTGACACGTGAAAATATGGCACACATGACTGGAATGGAATTCTTTAGTTAACTATCAAAGGCAATAGTCGCCGAACAATAATAAAAAAATTAAAATCTTCTTAATTCATAAATCTGTTATTTTTGGGGGAATGGCAAATCACCAAATTTGTTGTTCATATGGTTTTGATTATACACGTTGTATTTAAACAATAAAATGCTTTCTTTGTTTGTTGTTACTGGAATGAACGGAAGCAGCTGTTGCAGAAAAAATACATAACCCGCTTACGCGGGTTATGTAAATTTTTTCTGCAATAGCTGCGACCGTTCATTCCAGTAACAACAAACAAAGAAAGACATTTTATTGTTTATATTTATATCTGTTTAAATTATCACTTTAAGTAGGATTAAAAATATTAATTATTGTGTTAATGATGCGAACGTCTTTGTAAGTTTCATTGATGGAACGGCCACTGATCAAGAAATCTGTACAGGTGATATGCCTAATGTAGTTTATGCAGGGATGAACGCAATGGGTTTTCTTAAGAAATAAAGAAGAAAATATTCAGTGGATGTAAATATAATAAATTAATTTTCTTCAACATTCAGTCGTGGCGCAGTGTTTGAGCGTTTGTTCTAGAGTCGCGGAGGAAGAAGTTGATCCTAACGTCGCGGGTTCAAATAAGTTTCCTCGTGTGGTGTTGATTCGATTGAACCAGATGTAAAACTTTATTCCTTGTTAATTCCATATAATTAAAGTACCAAAACCCCATTGTTCTCTTATTTGTGTCCTAAGGTTTTAAAGAATCTTGGTTCAACAATAAGAGGAAAACTCGGGGGTGGCCCAGAAAAGTCCCCGTAATACTACAATACTACTTCACTGTCACGGAAATATATGGGGGAAATCTTTTAGATTTTTTTTTCTGAAAAAGACAGGCCCAATCTATATACTGGCTAGTATATATAGGCGTGGCCTGTGAACCTCAAGTATTTTGTATTTTCCTTATCTTGACATTGGAAAAATTATGGTCGCATGGACTTTCCAAATAGTGGCAAATACTAATTTTCTTTTAAAATATACGATTTCTTCTTTTTTTTAATGAAGAATAACAATTAAATTCTATATAACATTTTAATTTGTATCTATAGAGGGATCAATGATCCTCTGATAAGAAAGACAACTCTTAATGGCAGAAGTTTCTATTACATGTACGTGTATTTCTTTCAGCGCTGTTTTTTTCCTTTTAAAACCAATTTTGCCCCGCAAGCCATACAAAATGTTACTTGCATTTACTTATGCCAGCGTGGTGCATTGGTACACGTAAAAGCAACTGCTCCAGAGTCCCAGAGAAGCGAGACGTGCATGGAACCTTCCTTCAGAGGAGACCGTATAAACCGAGGACCTGTGCCGCAGTGGTGCTGTTACGAAAAATGGTTTCGAAAAATCTTCTCAAAAATAACAAAACCATGACTAGTCATATATGGAAGCATTCTCAGATACCGAGTAGTCAGTATATAGTTCAAATTCTGATCCCCGCCGGGACAATAAAATGATTATGTAGGAATTCATAGGAAGAATGTTTAAAAATCTCAAGAGCAACAAAGCTTATGTTAATTTGATTCATGTATGAACTGATAAGAGTTTATAGAGTAGTAGAATTATGTAGAATCACCATCCCAACCCCACCCCATCCTAGCAAAACATGACTGACTCACTTGGGTAGGGTGTGTAACGATATGTGAGCTAGAATTTCATAAGCGTTAAAGAGAAAGAGAATCTTCTCTCCTGATGAAAAGGTTACTAAGTGAGCATTGTGGCCCAAGGGCCTCTTGTTTTACTTTATACAAGTACTAGATTTGTTCTGTAATCAAGTACTAACTAACTAGTGTGATCTTTTTTTCAAACACCATCTATAATCCTATCTGAGATATCAAAAGTATTCGATTATCTGCCTACTATTTCACTTTTTTCTTAATTATTATAACTTTTTTTGGAGGTTGTTTATTTGCGTGTTCGCTCTTTCAATGTACTACTCGGTGTTTAGTTTCTCCCATTCTCTTTACAAGCGCATGGGTGATAGAGATTTCATGACAACATGGATTCGACAGAATTTATCCTTGCCTAAGTTGCCATTTTGACAAGATGAAATCGTGAGTTGTGATTCAGTGTTGCATATTTAGATGAAAATATTTTGCTTTGATAACTAGTTTGGAAATTAATATTTTTTCAGTTCTGAAATTGGTTACTCCAAACTTCAAAATACCATCACGAAAATTAGGACATCGAGGAAATTCTAACTTATATGAATAACTACTAAGTGTCTTCCTCGCTTCTGGTCATTTTTACGTATTAGAATATTCACGGACCGACAAAACTGGTTACATGTTGTTCCTGTTCATACATGACTGATTTTTTGTAACTATTTGGGTCCAATATTAAACATGAATAATCAGTGTTCAGTAAGGAGGGGGGGGGGGGGGGGGCATACATTTTCAGTTGAGGGAGCAATATCAACTACCAAAAATTTCATGACAAGCTAATAAAGGTCATTGGACGTTTTTATTGAGGGAGCACTAAAACTATACTTCTTCTTTTTCCATACGAGTTTACTCTAGCTAGAGCGTTGTACTCGGACAGAGCGTTGTACTCGGTTGCTATGTTTTCTATAGTATTCTATATATTGGCAAAATTACATAGTGTATAGGAAAAGCATCTTTGAGTGAAGGCAGGGTTCTCACTAGGAATTTTTAAAACTTGAGTCCCAGAACTCATGGTGTTTGAGAAAGTTGAGTCCCAGCTAAATTTGGTTTAGAAGAGGAGTTTAATTTTTTTAAATGAGGGGCTCAACCCCCTTCAGTAGGGGAGCTAATCAAGAAAAGACAAAAATAGAGTGGGATCACTTAAAAAAACCTCCTCCCCAAGAACCACTGGACCAGAAAAGCTTAAACTTAAGTGAAAGCATCCTTGGGTAGTGCAGATTCTAACCTTACCAACTTTATTGGTCAGTATCTTAGAAATAAAATACATATGAAAATGTTCATTATGTTTCTCATTTTGTCCCATACTCTGGCAATACAGGTACAGATCAAAATTGTCTAATAACGTTCGAAGATTAAAATTCTGACAGGTAGCTTACAAAGGACAAAGTGGGAAAAATGAATGTTACGCAGATGAGATAACTCTTAGTAATGTGAAATTTGTCTATACAGATTCCAGTTTTACATTAAAATACTTTTGAAGAAAGCTTCTCAAGAACCACTTGGCTAGAAATGCTGAAACATAGTTGGACATATTCTGGGATATTGTAGATTCCAAATTGTTCATATCATGGCCCCTTGGTATAAAGCAGGGCCACAATAGGTAGTACAAGGGGGCAAAGTCTGGTGAAGAAATACAGGGCCAAAGTCACTCGGTCAAGTGTTGACTGTGCTGTGGTCCCTCAGCCTCTTGTTTTTCCCCTCTTGTTTTGGAAAAACAAAACTGTGAAAAATTAAAAATTTAGCAGAAATAAGTGTGTTTTCATTTTAGATTGGATGGGATCAAGAGTTCAAGCAATAAAGGAATGGAATTTTTTTCACATTTGTACTCAGATTATTTAATAGATTGCAGTTTTAATATAGTAAGATGTTATATGTTTGAAGCACAGCATATTTTCATTTTAACTTCAGTAACACTCAGTTATAAAAAAACTTACTTTTAAGAACATTTTGCTTATGATGAATTTTTTTATTCCTCTAGAGACCTTTTACTATAATAATTTAATAAGAAAGCAAATTTTGAATTCCCAATGACTTCCTTATAACCAAGTCTGTTTTACTATATACATGTATGTATTTTTTTTGGTATTTCAGAATCTGATGTGAAATCATTCTATAAACATGTTTAAAAGACATTTACTGGTAACCTGCTGCAAGTCCTGACAGTCAACGAGGAGCATGTTGCGACACACTGGGAAATTTTTCTGGAAAGGGAAAGTCAGAGGTTTTCCAACCCTTTTCTTCACCAGTAAAATGCAGGATGTAGGCATTTTCTTCAAATCAGTCAATGAATTTTCTGATAAACAAGACCTCCAATTTTCTAATGCTGCAGATGCATCAAATAAAAATAATTTAAAGACAGTGTTCAAGAATAAGAGTTTGAAATAAAATGACAGTAGAGTGAGACCTACAGCTGGGGGAGATAGGTGCCCTATATCTGGGGGTGCTTGGGAGGATATCTTTGGAAATCTAATGACGTCCGATCGAGAGACAGTAAAGCCAGCATTTCAGACCCCCAACCAGGACAAGGACCTCCAAGAGGAAGACAGGTGAGTTATTCCAGTCCCCAGCTGCTTTAGCGTGTTTAACTCCAGATCCAGTCCTTGACATCTGTTTAAGACTCCTTTATTGAATTCCTTTAGAAGTGCTTGCTGCTAACTTAAAAATATTTGCCTTAATGAACTGGTAAACATTTGTAACACCTTTGTAATGGTATCATTTATTGCCAGCTTTTTATATTTTATTCAGTGATGACGGATGTGAGGAAGATTATAGACCTTTAAGAGTTATATACCATAAACTCTCTCCAGAATGGTACAACAAGCAAATGAAGAAATATGCAAAAGAGGGCAAGGTTGGTCCATGGCTTAAAAGATATAAATAGATCAGTATTTTTATTTTATTTTAAATCTCTCAAGTTACCTATATGGAATATTGATCCATTAAAATTCATGTAAGTTGAAAGTAATCCATTGTTAATATTAATTATAAAGTCAAATTGCATTGCATGAAAAGATTTTATGTAGGTTTTCCTAATACATGTACCTGTATTGTGCACAAAGATCATTTTATAATTTGATAGATTGAGCGGGCCATTGATGTTCTTGAAGTGATCATGTTGAAGAATGACCGAGTGCGGCCATTACCAAGTCATTTCTACACTCTGATCTGCCTCATAAGTAAAACAGGAGATACAAAGAAAGCTTTCCACTTCTTTTCAAAGGTGACTTCATTTTTAACTATCCAGCCTTTGTATGGAGGGAATCTTTACAACTAAAGACCTATGAACAATTTATTTCTTGTAACAGTATTTAAAAAATACTGTAAATTACAAGAATTTTATTTTAGTGCCATTTTGCAAGAGCTTCTACCTGTGAAAATTGCATTTTCATGCCTATCAAATAACTATTAAACATTAAAATAAAGAATGTGAGGAAAATCAGGTGATCTATTTTCGTGTTTAAGGATCTTTTCACACACTCATAGAGTATAACACTCTGAAAGTCACTAATCAACTTCTCCTCTGCCCATTGACCTTCCATGTTTTTGAAGGTTAAGATTTTCATATCTGAACATGCTGAAAGATGTTCAAAATGTACAGACAGTACAAAGTCAAGGATGATTGAACAGAATGGTCATGGTAGATCCAGAAAGAATCAAGATGTTAAAGTGATCACCACTTGTGGATAGTTTTTATTAATGTAACTTAATTTAATATGTCGCTTGGTTCATCATAGCCATATGCTTTGTTCAATTATATATGTCTGTTTCATGTGATAAAAAGCAATCTGACAAAGAGGTGCTCTTGCCCATTAATCTTTGTTTTATGTATATGAGTTTCATTACTGAGAATGATTTGAATTTTAGATGAGAGATTTTGGATATAAACCAATCCCACAAGTCTTCACTGCCCTGTTTGATGCTTGTTCTAAATCAATTTATGGGAAAGAGGATGGTTTCGAACGAGCCACAAAACTTATTCACACAATGAAAGAAAACAACATTACCCCAAACCAAACAACGTTTAATGCCATGATCAAAACCTTTGGAATGCTGGGGAAAAGTGAGATAGCACTTCATCTAGCTGACCAGAACCTCAGCCTTTATCGTCCAGATGACAAGACAATAGCCAACATTTTGATAGCTGCTGCTGGAGATGAAGTGAATGGCTTGGCTCTTGCTATTGGGGTATTTGTCTGACTGATAAAAGGTTTTGTTATATATTATTTTTTTTCAATTTGAAACTGATATTGTACATCCTGATGATGACTCAATTCTTTTTTACAGATATGGAGGGTGGCAAGTCTACGTAAGATAAAAACAACAGTATTTCATTATATGCTTCTTCTCAGAGCCATTCGCTGTTGTGGAATAGGAGATGAAGACAAATTCTACCAAATGTTGATTCAGACATCGCCATATGAAATGCAAGAAAGATTACAGTTATCTTTAGCTGAATTTCAGAAGAGGATGAAGGAAGGTAATCTTACCTCTGAGGATTACCTCCCATGTTCAAATTGTCCACCAGAGGGAGCACTAGGTAGTGTTGCCACCCGTGATATTCAGTTGAGGTTGTCAGACATGACTCAGACAGACTGTATTGTTATGGGTACTCATTCTTGTGATAGCACAATGACAGCATCTCCATTAGACATAGTGGTCACAAACACACAGCCAAAAGCATTGTCAGTGTCTATCAAATCAGTTGATTCTTTTGAAACTGATGGTGGAAATTTTCAAGATATTTTAAAACCAGGAGAAATATCAATTCTGAATATGTACAAAATCAGAAACAAATATGAAAGACTTGAGTTGCTTGGAGGAGTAAGTGGATTTTTAGCTCGCATGAAAAGGGACAGAATTAAACCTAATGTGGCTGTGTTTGGACAGTTATTTCACATCGTAGAGACATTGGAAGAAGAGGAATTCTTGTTTTCTGCAATGGAGAAGCTCCAGGTATCCCCAGATATAGACATTATATCTCATGCAATGCTAAAGAGACTTAGAAGATTCGAAAAAGAAGAGGCCAAGGTATTATATATTTTTATTTCTTATATTTAGATCATTTAGATGTGAACTACTTATTCGATCTCATAATTCTTCATGAAAAAAACTAATTATGTTAAAAGATGTTAAAATGTCAACATTTTAAATTTTTGCAGTGTTTGTTGGAATTAATGCAGCAAAAAGGTCTAATGCCCAATATTTTTGTGTGGAAATACTTAGCATTCATTGAATGTCGGAATGGGGAAGCACTGAGACAGTTTTTAGAAGAATTGCAGGTAAACATTTAAGAAATCACAAGCCTTCAGGTTGCTTTAATCCAGTGGATATAATAGGAGTAACATAAGATTTAAAACTTTCAGTCCTGTAAAACTATCAGTGTTTTATTGGCACTAAATTGTATTTAAGTGCAACTTAAATGGTGCATATCTGTTGTAAATTTATTGCAAAAATACTTTTTTGTGACCTGAATATGGTCACAAAAAAGGAAAAATTGAATTTTCACAAGAAAGAAATATTTTTTTTTATTATATGATTGAATAATTTCCATCTCTCTTTTTGGCTGAGATCCTACTATGTTAGAAAAATACTACGTTGTATTGACCTGCACGTGGCATTGCAGGTGAATACAAGGATTTATTTTCTCTACAGTGATCTAAAAATAGATTGGGAAATTCCAAATTGATCAGTTTTTCCCTGATAATACTCCTTCCTTTCAAAATGTATCCTATAAAAAAGACCGACATTATATAATTTTTTCATGGCAACTAAAATTGACAAAAAACTATTTCAAATTGATATGACTGTTAAGGTTTATTTACATCTTAATTCTGCTTCTCTCTTGTATTTGGCTAGGACTTAATTAAATGCAAACAAGTACTGGTAATGAACTGAATCATTTTATCAGTGAATGATATAATAAAACAATTATTGCTGTTTTTTCAGTCAACACAATGATTAAGCCATCTTCGAAGTACAATATTCACCTCGCCCTTCGAGCTCGGTGAATATTGTACTCCTCAGATGGCTAAATCATTGTATTGACCTCAAAAAACAGCAAAAATTGTATTATATCCCAGGCTTAAGTCTAATTGAAGAAATATGGTGGTCTGTGTAAACTATTTCAATTGCCATAGTTTAACAAGTTTTAAAAAAAATAAACTTAAATTTCTATCACAGTATATACAGTTTTATTTTCCTTTTCACTTCAAGTGTAAGCTGATATATAGCTTGCTAAAATGTTTTAAAAATGCGCAAAAACATATTTTACTATATATATAAATCTTTCTTGAAGCACAATGATATTGCCTTGACTGTTCACTTGATGGATGGACTGATGAGGAGCAGTGATTATACCTTTAGAAACAAAAAGTATTTGTTACAATTAATGGACAAACTAGACATCTACCCAACAGAGTACTTTGTGGACAGAGTACATGGAATTATCAAACATACCCAAGAAAGATTGAGGAGAATGGTAAGGAAGCAATATCAGAAAGACAGTAATACAACATATGACATGTCCCTATAAACATATATTTATAACTTTTCTCAATAATTTTTAAAAGTAATGTTTCTTAAAAATTGTGCTTCATTTATACCAGTCATTGTTGCAAGTTACTAGTACCAGAAGAGGATATTTCCTGTACATATTACTGTGAAAAATCACTTTAATGCTGATATAATATCATAATTTTTGGGTTCCGTGATATGGGGTATTGTGACCTCACCCGTATCACACCATGCAGAATCCGTGTATTTACTACTAAGTACTGTAAACCAACTTTTATTTGCGTACGAGAAATTTTCGCGAAGTTTGCAAGAGCCTCTTCATCGCGAATATTTCTCGCCGCGAACCAGTCCTTAAAGTGTATATGTCTATTAACAACAGATTCAAAAAGGCTTGATCGCAAAAATAAATCGTCACGAACTAGTTTATCCCTGGTAAATCGCGAAATAAAGTTGTCGCGAATAAAAGTTGGTTTACAGTATATGATAAAGATCCCCATCAGTCCTTCTTATCCATATCAGCCCTAAAGGGCTTATACTGCTCTTGGGGCCTCTAGCATATAACATTTGCAAAATGCTGTATTTATTATTAAGTATCAAACTGTAAAAAGATTTTGTTACCAGCTGGTACATGAGAGCAATGTTAAGTCCCAGGTAGAGTCAAACATACTGTTAATCAAATATTATTTGCAACATCATTAATTAACGATACTGATAGTTCAGTTTGGAATTCTTCTGTGACTTCTCATTTTTGCGACTGAGGCAACATTTTACATAAATACATACTTGTAGATAAATAATTGCTTGTGATGAGAAATATCTGTGAATAAAAGAACATAGGGAAACTCGCAGATATATCTCCCACATGCATAAAAGTTGGTTTACAGTATAACCTGAGAAACTTGTGAAACGATGGACCTTTTAGTTAGTATTTTTTGTAAAATTCATGAATTGTTAAATTTTAGGCACTGCAGAAGAAAGACTGCTCAGAGGAACAGAGAGAATTCATGGACTTCCAACATTACTTTCATCAATGGCTGAAAACTGTTCCAATGCAGAAATCATAGCCGGAAGTAGGAGCAACAAGCAAATTCAAAGAATTGTGGTCCCCCACTTTCAGTGTCTTTGTGGATGAGATGTCATTTTTTATGACACATTGTGTCTAATATGAACACCCTATCATATGTCATTTATTTAGAAATTATCACTGAAGTTGATTTTTTTTAAAAAATAAGGTCAATTGTGAAGGTCAAGGTCAAGGGGTAAGAATTCATAGCATGCTCGGAAATATCTTGTCACAGGTAATGCACATGTCAAATATGAAAGTCCTATCTCTTCTCAATATAAGGAACAAGATGTGTCAAATAGTGAAACGCAGATGACCTCGTATGGCAACATAACAAAGATTTAAGATTTCTTGATTCAAATGAAATATATTTGATATTACCCAAAGTAAGGTTTTCAGACAAGAATTACGATTGTGAAATACAAAATCCCACCCCCCTGTTCAAAAGAAAGTTATGGCCAAGGATACATATTTGAAAGGTAGGTCAAACTCCAAGTTGAAAGGATCTGAGTTGTTGATTTCTTTAAAAAGGTCACAAGTAATACATATGTGAAGGATGAAAACCCTAACCTTAACAGTTCAATAGTTATGGCCAAGGTAAAAGTTTTGAAAAAGTAAGTCAATCTCCAAGGTCAAGGTCAAAGGGTCAAAGTTCTTGGTATCCAATGAAAGGTCTTCTCATAAGGATTACATATGTGAAGTACGAAAGCCTTAGCCCTTACCGTTCAAATGTTATGGTCAAGGTTAAACTTTTTTTTTTCAAAAGTACGGAAATCTCCAAGGTCAAAGTCAAAATGTCAGAATGGTTGGTATCCAATGAAAGGCCTTGCCACAAAAAATACATATGTGAAATATGTAAGTCCTAGTTTCTACCATTCAAAAGATATGGTCAAGGTTAAAGTTTTTTCATAAGTACGGAAATCTCCAAGATCAAAGTTGTTGGTATCCAATGAAAGGTCTTGCGACAAAAAAAACATGTGCGAAAATATGAAGTCCTACATGTAGTATCTACCGTTCAAAAGTTGTGGCCATGGTCAAAGTTTTTGAAAATTAGGTCAGTCTCCTTGGTCAAGGTCAAAGGGTCAAAGTTCTTGGTATCTAATTAAGGTATTTTTACAAGGATTACATATGTGAAGTATGATAGCCCTAGCCCTTTCCGTTCAAAAGTTATGGTCAAGGTAAAAGTTTTTTCATAGGTCTCTAAGGTCAAGGTTAAAAGGTCAAAATTGTTGGTATCCAATGAAAGGCCTTGACACAAAAAATGCATATGTGAAATATGAAATTCCTAGTTTCTACTATTCAAAAGATATGGCCAAAATAAAAGTTTGGATTTTTTGTGTAAAAGTGGGTCAAACTCCAAGGTCTAGGTCAAAAGGTCAAATATGGTGGTACCCAAAGAAAGGTCTTCTCACAAGGGACACACAAGTGAAATATGAAAGTCATAGCTCCACTAAATCAAAAATAATGGGCAAGGTTAAAGTTTTCGTGACGGACGGACAGACGAATGAGATTTAATGTCCCCTCGCTTTCGCTAAAGCGGGGCACAATAAAGAAGGCAATAAATTGTTATTTTATTCATTATGGTTTTATTTTGTTCGGGATTGGTCCAAAATGAATTTTTTTTTTTCAATTTGCCATTTCATTTCAATTTCTTGCCAAAAAGACCGAGACTAGTCAAAATTCACATATACTTTGATCATTAGTAAACTTTAATTAAGTGAATCATCGTGCATACGTACAGATATTTCTCCATCAGATAATAAAGGCTTGTCATAATTTTTAATTCTTATACCACCAACCTTTCACTTGCTATTTGACTTCGAATTAAAGTCGTGACACTCTTTAGGTTCATAAACAGTACCTGTATCAGGTTCCAATGAGCAATCTTTGTATCAAGTACGAGCTCCTAGTATTTCTACATTGTTAAGTTAAAGTTTTAAAAAAATATTTTTACACTATTCTGCCTGTAACTCTTTGAACTTGCTGCATTGACACTGGATTAAAATAAGAACTTTCCTTATTTCAAAAACAATACCTGTACCAATTCTTTTCCAAATAAAGTCTTAGCCGAGACATTTTTTTTCTTTTTTCTACCAGTGACCTTGAAATCGCCAAAATGACCTTGGATAAAGGTCAAGGCATATTCTTTGATCATAAGCAATATCTGTACCGAGTATGAGCTTCCACTGACTCTCCATTACAAAGTCAAGTTATGTCATACCTTTTTTTCTACTAGTAACCTTGAACTAAATGGAATGACTGGATAAGATCATGACACATTTTTGGGTCATAAGCAATCCCTGCACCAGGTTTGAGCTTCCAGTGATTCTTTCTACAAAGTTATGACCCAGACAAAAATTTCATACTTTTAGGCCAGTGACCTTGAACTTGCAGGAATGACCTTGTGTCAGATCAGGACTCACTGTTGGGTCATTCCAAGCAAGCTCTATAACAAGTATAAGCTTCCAATGTTTCCATATATCAAAGTTAGAGCCTAGACAAAATTACATTCACAGACAATGTGATTCCTGTATATCCCTAAAACTTCCTTTGTTTGGGGTAAAAAGAGAAGTTTCATTACAAGGAATATACATTTGAAATATGAAAGCCCTAGCACTAATCATTCACATCATTTTGTTTTACCAAAGTAGGTCAAAGTCTAACTTAAAGGTTAAAAAAAGTTCAAAAGGAATGGCCATGGGTAGTAAAAATTAGTAAATTTGGAGACACATAAACAGACAGACAGTTTATCAAAATATGCCCACAAATCTTCAATTATAGAGGTGGAATAAAAACTCAACAAGTTTAATTCCATGACAAACAGACTGTATAATAGTGTATTTTAATATATATGATAAATTCAAACTGACAAAAATTAATCATGTATCACAAGGGACAAACACAGTTTTTACAATTACATGTACATCAGTTATGCTTTTCAAGAAAAATTGAAAAAATATGAAACATCTAGAAAATCTTCATATACTACTTGTGTAAGAAGTAGAACATGCTTATAGAACTTGACAAGGAAAAATATTTCATAAAAAACTTAAATTACTTAGAGCCTCAGTAACAAGTAAAAGAAGGAAAAAGTGTTGCATACAAAGATAAAACTAAATTAGATAAGCAAGAAGCCCATGGGCCACATCACTCACCTGAGTAACTTTGGCCATTATGTTATTAAACAGATTTCCCCCCTAATACCTATCTTGACCTTTCCCAATCCCCAGGGGTCATGATCCAAGCAATTTAGAATCTACACTAGTAACACTACCCCAGGATGCTTCCACAGAAGTTTAGCTTTTCTGGCCCAGTGGTTCTTGAGAAGATTTTTTTATGACCCCACCCTATTTTTGTATATTCTTGACAATTTCCCCTCGGAAGGGGACTTTATTTTTATAATTTAAACTCCCACTACCCAAGGATGTTTTGTACTAAGTTTGGTCAAAATTTACCCAATGGTTCTCAAGAATAAGCTGAAAATGTGAAAAGTTTACAGATGAATGGACAGTCAGATGGATGGACGACGGACAACAGGTGATCAGAAAATCTCATATGAGTTAAAAATTGCCTGCTATGTAAATCAAAGGAGAGATTTAGATTTTGCATATTGTTATATTTATTTATAATCTAAAACACTAAAAAATAATAATGTTACAATGAGATCACTTTATCTTTTCTAGCAATTTTCAAACTAAAATTAGATATCATTGAGATGGTGGCCATCTCAAAGGGTCCCACTTTCAGCAATGAACATAAAAATGTAAAGTAGCTGAAAGGGGTTTTAACCTTGACTCTTGGCCTAGAAACTTTGTTCAAGGTCACTACACATCCATTGACCAGTGGCACTCTGTGAGAGAAGTATTAGCCACATTGGACCAAGGGGAGAAAGCATATGCTCTGGACAAGAATTCACAATAAAAAAAATTACCTCCCTTTCTCTTAAGCTTAGATATTCAGACAAGCACTGATTTACCTCTCTTGATATTTTTGCTTAAAAATCCAATCTTTAACTTTTTTAAATTTAAAAAATATAATGTACAGATACAAAAAAAAAAAACATTCAGAAAAAATAACGTAGTATATGAAAAGTTGTACAATAATGTAGTATCACAACTTTGAGTGATCTGCTGTGGATGTCATATGATCATGAGTTATCCTTAATGAGTTATGTACTCAGCATGGTACACTGAATCCTGAGAATTAAGCTGTTTACTGTGTCCATCACTTTGTAGATATTAGTACATACTCAACTCTGTCCATTGGATTCTGTGAGTTAAGCTATTTAGTGTGTCCATCACTTTGTAGATAACAATGTACTCAGCACGGTCCATTGAATTCTGTCAGTTAAGCTATTTAGTGTGTCCATCACTTTGTAGATATATAACAATGTACTCAGCACGGTCCATTGAATTTTGTCAGTTAAGCTATTTAGTGTGTCCATCACTTTGTAGATATATAACAATGTTCTCAGCACAGTCCATTGAATTCTGTCAGTTAAGCTATTTAGTGTGTCCATCACTTTGTAGATATATATAATTGAAATAAGTAGTGTGTCCATCACTTTGTAGATATATAACAATGTTCTCAGCACAGTCCATTGAATTCTGTCAGTTAAGCTATTTTAAGTGTGCCCATCACTTTGTAGATATATAATAATGTACTCAGCACTATCCACTGAATTCTTTGAGTTGAGTTATTTAGTGTGTCCATCACTTGCAGTCCAAACCTTAAATTACTCTCTGCACTATTGTTGAAGCATATTTGTCTGCTTTCAAAGAAACATGAAATTGATGGCAGTCTGCCTGTAAAAAAAGAAATCACCAGGACTCAACATAAATATTAATAAAATCTTAATAAATGAAAAATAGCTAACATATTTTACAGAATAGAATGATTTTGCAGAGCTTGTACATGTGTCTTACCTTTATTTTCAGGTCCCATAGTTGATCTCTTTGGAGTCTTGAGGAATCATGTTGATCTGCTTTTGGAAACAGGATCAATGCCAGCATAACCGCCTGCCTATTAACAAAAAGACACTAAGAATCCAAGCAATGAGAGAGTCAAAATCTCCTCTAATTCACATAATGCAAGGTCTAGAGCTTTACATGCATCTGATCTGACTAACCATCAATGTTTAGGTTAGACAGTAGTAAGTCCTTACTTTCCACATTCTTGTTAACTGATTGAGATCAGTCTCATCTTCTACTTGTTAACAAAGGAAATCCAAAGATAATGAAAAAAACATGAACAAAAATACCTTGTGCCAAATTGTTCACCTGAGTCACCTTGACTTTGTCATCAAAAGAAAAATTCTTAATTCATATTTTTTTACTAATCCTAGTCCAAAGGGATCATGATGTAACGTAATTTGAAACAACACATCCTCGGGATGCCCTATTGTTATTGCAACACAGTCTTGCTGTTGTGCAGCAGAAGTAAATTCCCCTGGACCTATGATTTGATAAGTGTATAAAGAAAATTTGTAAATTGCAAAAAATAAATCTTTTTACCCACCCCTTAATCAGATATTGGCTGCTGTACAAAGCTTGGCAATAGACTCTTCTTTTTCTTCACTTGGTCAGCACTGGTCCTCTTCCCTTGTCAAATTCCTTGAAAATACTTGATGGAAAGAAGATAAGCAATAATACAAAGCAATGTAATAATCACAGAAATTCAAATGAACATAATCATTACAACATTATTAGCTTGAAAATCAAAAACCAAATAAAGACAATAAGGTTATGATAGCTAGGAATAAGGTGGAATATTGGGGCAAGGAGAGGAAAGCATAGTTACTTTAGAGTAGGGAGGACAAAGATATGTCAGAAATAATTAAATAAAAAATACTTGTAAGACTCCTGCCTGTTAAAGTGGGTCATGATGAAGTTCCATAGGTGAAAAAGAAGTAAAGTCTGATTCTACGAGTATTCTCCTCATGGCTGCAGCGGAATGGGAAAGGGACTCTTCCTCACTTAGAATTCCTGGTCGTTCTTAACTTTCTTCTGCTTAAAAAGATAAAACAGAGACATAAAAGGGGAAACACTTGCACTTAATACCAAGTGAGAAGCTTCAGTAAAAAGCAGCTTGTTGCTTACCACTTTTGAAACATAATACCTGCAAAACACAGACAGGAATAAACTCTTCTTATATTAATGACCTTGGTCCTCTATTGTTGTTCCTCTTCTGAATCAAAGGGGAACTGAAATCTGTCAATTGAAGGTCCAGATGTTAAAGCTTGGTACAGCCAACATCAATAGGCAAGCAAAGATACAAGAAGTAAAATCTGAATCTTACCCTGCTTTCTGCTGCTGTATGCAGTTCAATGAGAGAGGGAGTCCTCCTCACTTCAGGATCCTGTTCAGCCTTAAAAGTATTCCTCTTAAAAAGATAAAAATTAACAGACACCAAAAGAGGATCACTTGCACATCATACCAAGTGAGAAGATTTCTAAAATAAACTAGTGGCCAATGGGCAATATGCTTACCTAAGCATATTGGCTAGTAAATGACAAAAGTCCAGTATTGAAAAGTATAAAATTTAGGAAGAGGAGAAGGGGGCTTGAATAACTACCTGGAGACATTTTCATATCAATAACAATGGCTTAGCTGTTCTTGAACATAAAATTTTTACCTATATATTCCTTTGTTAAAATTTTATCCCCATTGATGCCCCTCCCTGCCCCCTGGAATCAAGATTTGGACAAATTTGAATCTACACTACCTAAGGATGCTTCCATATCAATATGACTACATATGGCTTTGGTATTATTGAGAAGACATTTCCTATATACTGTAAATCACTTAATTTTCGCGACACCTTATTTTCACGAGATTAGTCAATGACTCTTCATTAGCGAGACAAAATTTTCAAAATTGTGGTCATTGCTCTATATAATCTTAAGGAATTATATTATATGCGAGAATCAAATTTTCGCGACCATACCGTCTCGCGTAATAATGTGAAAATAAAGTTCTCGCGAATAAAAAGTGATTTACAGTATTCCCCTGTCCATTTTGATCCACCATTGGGGCCCTGCCCTACACCTGGGAGTCATGATTTGAACAAACTTAAATCTACACTACATGAAGATGCTACCGTATACATATCGCCAGTCATGACATATTTGTTTCTGAGAAGATTTCTAAAAATATTTCCAATATAATCCAATGTAAAACTTTGATTGTCCAATGTGGCCCAAACCTTTTCCCGGTAGACATGATTTGAACAAAATGAAATCTTCACTACCAAAAAGGATGATTTGCTATCAATATAACTAATTGTGGCTTGAGAAAAAAAAAGTATATCCCTACATACTGTAGACTCCTAAATATGTGCGTGGAATTAATTTTCGCGTAATTTCATGAGAAGCACCACACACAAAATTAAATTACTCGCCTTTATTTTTATGGCGCTGAAATCTATGTAAAATCTCTTAACCAACCATGCATTTGCGAATTATTATTCTTGTGATTTGACGGTGAAAAGCCTATTTGCGATAATTACTCGCGAAAAATAAGGAATCTACAGTATTATATATATTTTTGATCCCCTATTCTGACACCAACATGGGGTCTTGATTTGACTAATTTTGAATCTACACTACCTGAGGATGATGCCACATAAGTGTCTCTTTCCTGTCTCAGTGGTTCTTGAAAAGAAGATTTTTAAAAGATGTCCTTAATTTTTCTCTTATTTGTAGTAATCTTCCATTTGAAGAGGGAGTGGGCCTTCATTTGAATAAACTTAAATCCCATAATGGCATTTATCCAAGGATACTCTTTGCCAAGTTTCGTTGAATTTGACCAAAGATGAAAATGTGAAATTTTACAAACAAGAGGCCCATGGGCCACACCGCTCACCTGAGAAGCTTTGACCATTCTGTTCTTTACCAGATTTCCCCCTTGTAACACATATTGTGACCCCACCCTACCCCACTGATCAAAATTTAGACAATTTGAAATCTACACTACCCCAGGATGCTTCCACATAAGTTTCAGCTTTTCTGGCCCAGTGCTTCAAAGATTTTTCCTATATATTTCTATGTAAAACTTTGATTCCCCATTGTGGCCCCGCCCTACCCCCGGTGGTCATGATTTGAACAATTTAGAATCTACACTACCCCAGGATGCTTCCACACAAGTTTCAGCTTTTCTGGCCCAGTGGTTCTTGAGCAGAGGATTTTCAAAGATTTTTTCTATATATTTCTATGTAAAAATTTGATTCCCCATTGTGGCCCCGCCCAACCGCCGGGGGTCATGATTTGAACAATTTAAAATCTACACTACCCCAGGATGCTTCCACAGAAGTTTCAGCTTTTTGAGATTTTTTAATGACCCCACCCTAGTTTTGTCTTTTCTTGATTATCTCCCCTTGTGAGGGGACTTGGCCCTTCATTTTAACAATTTAAATTCCCCTTCACTCAAGAATGCTTGGTACCAAGTTTGGTCAAAATTGGCCCAGTGGTTCTTGAGAAGAAGTCGAAAAATGTGAAAAGTTTACAGATGGATGGACGGACAGACGACGGACAAAATGTGATCAGAAAAGCTCACTTTAGCCTTTGGCTCAGGTGAGCTAAAAAGATGACAAAGACATAAAATGAACAAAGGTTCACTTCTTTTAAAAACTAGCACTTATATCAATTGATTCTACTACTAAATTGGGTTTGTGATCAGGAGAGATCCTATTATGAGATGTTTACCAATGCTTTTGAGACTCATCTTCCCGTGCGCCCTTGCGAACTTAGCCTGGGACAAAATGATACCCAGTATCCGTCTGCTTCCACGTGGAGGCATCGCATAGGACTTGTTGTGGAGAGGCTATGTACTGGCAGGGGAAGACATTAGAATTTTTTCCCCCTTTTCGCATTGCTGCTAGCCAGCGGTGATGGCTGAAAGCGAGAGGTGACAAGCACACAGACACTAACACCAACACACTAGACGCGTCACACAACATTTAGCAGACGTTAGTAGTTTTAGTAGCTTGTTACTTGTACAGGGTTCTCCATTGTTTGAAATTTTACTGTGTTGCAGAGTTTATGCAAAGCACTAAAATTTCACGGTATTTTAGCGATCAAATTTGCAACTGACTCACTATTCATTATAATTACTTGAGAATATATGCACACAATTAAAAAAAAAAGAAAAATCACCAATTTGTTACAAAAATAGTACGGTCGAACATATTAGCACATGAAATGTGAAAATGCAGAGGAAATTCTTGTCTATAAAGTTGAACTACTTACAATATTTTAAAGCAAATTTGTCATAATTTTTTTGTCAATTTTATTGATCGAATTAAGGAATTACAAAAAAAGAGACTTCGGAATAGTAAAATACTTTTAAAAGTTCCTTGAAAATTGAAAACTATTTATTTACATCAAGTAAATGATTTTGGTACAGTGTTATGTTTGATTTACATTGCAAACATAATTCTAGAGCCATGGCTCTAAAGAAAAGACATTTAAATATATTTTTAAAAATAATACAATGTACTTTAATTGCAACTACTAGTACCAATTAAGCGTTACATGGAAGTTTGAAATCCAATTTTTTGTCTTTGTTCCTTCATGCGTCAAGTCCATTGAGGGTCTAGGAAATAATTGATTATGCAAGGTGAAAGCATAATTAAGTGACCTAGATATAGAATTGAAAGACGGTAGAATTGTTTGATCAATTATGTTTCAGATAGAGAGAATTTGTATGTTTCAATTTTTTTTTATTATCACAGATCTTACTGTGTCAGCAAAATTTTTAATGTGTCACACAGATAAAATTTGAATCTTTACTGTGTCAGAGAACATTTTTCTGTGTCGGGGACCAACACAGTAAATCAGCTCATGGAGAACCCTGCTTGTTAGAGTGTTAATCATGCAAACCTGTCCACCACAAGCACTAATCATGCACTAACTAACAAATACCTTAATTACAATAATAACCTACGCTCCTCTAAGCTGTCTAACTATCAACTAAAGCCTACTTACTAACTCAAACTACAACACAACTGCACCTACCGGAAATACTATACAAACTAAACCTAAGACTAAGAAACACCTTTGCAATGCTACTTACAACTACTATACACCCCATACTTTTTGAATGTAGCAGAAAACACTCTAGACTGACCTTCAAAGGTGGCTATCTCTGCTTCCTGTCAATTCAAACTCAATAGGTCAAAGCCTGAAAAATCCAACATCAATTGGAAAGCCATAATATTGGGAAAAGGTGTTCAGAGGTCAAGTATGAATCTTACCGCACTTTCTGCTCATGAACGCTGTTAAATGAGAGAGGGACTGCTCTTCACTTCAGGATCCTGGTCAGCCTCAAATTTCTTCTGCTTAAAAAGAGAAAACAAACACATCAAAGGAGAATCACTCACATTCCCTAACAAATGACAAACTTCATTTGAATAATCAATTTGTTACTTACAACCTTGAGCCATATTGGTTGCTGCATAGAGATGGGAAATGGACTCATCATCCTGTCTTTTGCTGTTGGTCGACCTTGCTCCTCCATCGTTGTTCCTCTTCCGAGTCCCTGAAAGTATAAAACTGGCACAATGTTAGTAAAACTTCAAAAGAATGCAACAAATCACGAAAAGTTACTTACCACTTTGGGCCATGTTGGCTGCTGTATAGAGATGGGAAATGGACTCGTCATCTCGTCTTCCTCTGTTGGTCGACCCTGCTCCTCCATCGTTGTACCTCTTCCGAGTCCCTGAAAGTATAAAACTGGCACAATGTTAGTAAAACTTCAAAAGAATGCAACAAATCATGAAAAGTTACTTACCACTTTGGGCCATGTTGGCTGCTGTATAGAGATGGGAAATGGACTCATCATCTCATCTTCCTCTGTTGGTCGACCCAGCTCCTCCATCGTTGTTCCTCTTCCCAGTCCCTGAAAGTATAAAACTGGCACAATGTTAGTAAAACTTCAAAAGAATGCAACAAATCACGAAAAGTTACTTACCACTTTGGGCCATGTTGGCTGCTGTATAGAGATGGGAAATGGACTCGTCATCTCGTCTTCCTCTGTTGGTCGACCCTGCTCCTCCATCGTTGTTCCTCTTCCCAGTCCCTGAAAGTATAAAACTGGCACAATGTTAGTAAAACTTCAAAAGAATGCAACAAATCACGAAAAGTTACTTACCACTTTGGGCCATGTTGGCTGCTGTATAGAGATGGGAAATGGACTCGTCATCTCGTCTTCCTCTGTTGGTCGACCCAGCTCCTCCATCGTTGTTTCTCTTCCGAGTCCCTGAAAGTATAAAACTGGCACAATGTTAGTAAAACTTCAAAAGAATGCAACAAATCACGAAAAGTTACTTACCACTTTGGGCCATGTTGGCTGCTGTATAGAGATGGGAAATGGACTCGTCATCTCGTCTTCCTCTGTTGGTCGACCCTGCTCCTCCATCGTTGTTCCTCTTCCGAGTCCCTGAAAGTATAAAACTGGCACAATGTTAGTAAAACTTCAAAAGAATGCAACAAATCACGAAAAGTTACTTACCACTTTGGGCCATGTTGGCTGCTGTATAGAGATGGGAAATGGACTCGTCATCTCGTCTTCCTCTGTTGGTCGACCCTGCTCCTCCATCGTTGTTCCTCTTCCGAGTCCCTGAAAGTATAAAACTGGCACAATGTTAGTAAAACTTCAAAAGAATGCAACAAATCACGAAAAGTTACTTACCACTTTGGGCCATGTTGGCTGCTGTATAGAGATGGGAAATGGACTCGTCATCTCGTCTTCCTCTGTTGGTCGACCCAGCTCCTCCATCGTTGTTCCTCTTCCCAGTCCCTGAAAGTATAAAACTGGCACAATGTTAGTAAAACTTCAAAAGAATGCAACAAATCACGAAAAGTTACTTACCACTTTGGGCCATGTTGGCTGCTGTATAGAGATGGGAAATGGACTCGTCATCTCGTCTTCCTCTGTTGGTCGACCCTGCTCCTCCATCGTTGTACCTCTTCCCAGTCCCTGAAAGTATAAAACTGGCACAATGTTAGTAAAACTTCAAAAGAATGCAACAAATCACGAAAAGTTACTTACCACTTTGGGCCATGTTGGCTGCTGTATAGAGATGGGAAATGGACTCGTCATCTCGTCTTCCTCTGTTGGTCGACCCTGCTCCTCCATCGTTGTTTCTCTTCCCAGTCCCTGAAAGTATAAAACTGGCACAATGTTAGTAAAACTTCAAAAGAATGCAACAAATCACGAAAAGTTACTTACCACTTTGGGCCATGTTGGCTGCTGTATAGAGATGGGAAATGGACTCGTCATCTCGTCTTCCTCTGTTGGTCGACCCTGCTCCTCCATCGTTGTTCCTCTTCCCAGTCCCTGAAAGTATAAAACTGGCACAATGTTAGTAAAACTTCAAAAGAATGCAACAAATCACGAAAAGTTACTTACCACTTTGGGCCATGTTGGCTGCTGTATAGAGATGGGAAATGGACTCGTCATCTCGTCTTCCTCTGTTGGTCGACCCTGCTCCTCCATCGTTGTTCCTCTTCCCAGTCCCTGAAAGTATAAAACTGGCACAATGTTAGTAAAACTTCAAAAGAATGCAACAAATCACGAAAAGTTACTTACCACTTTGGGCCATGTTGGCTGCTGTATAGAGATGGGAAATGGACTCGTCATCTCGTCTTCCTCTGTTGGTCGACCCAGCTCCTCCATCGTTGTTTCTCTTCCGAGTCCCTGAAAGTATAAAACTGGCACAATGTTAGTAAAACTTCAAAAGAATGCAACAAATCACGAAAAGTTACTTACCACTTTGGGCCATGTTGGCTGCTGTATAGAGATGGGAAATGGACTCGTCATCTCGTCTTCCTCTGTTGGTCGACCCTGCTCCTCCATCGTTGTTCCTCTTCCGAGTCCCTGAAAGTATAAAACTGGCACAATGTTAGTAAAACTTCAAAAGAATGCAACAAATCACGAAAAGTTACTTACCACTTTGGGCCATGTTGGCTGCTGTATAGAGATGGGAAATGGACTCGTCATCTCATCTTCCTCTGTTGGTCGACCCTGCTCCTCCATCGTTGTTCCTCTTCCGAGTCCCTGAAAGTATAAAACTGGCACAATGTTAGTAAAACTTCAAAAGAATGCAACAAATCACGAAAAGTTACTTACCACTTTGGGCCATGTTGGCTGCTGTATAGAGATGGGAAATGGACTCGTCATCTCGTCTTCCTCTGTTGGTCGACCCTGCTCCTCCATCGTTGTTTCTCTTCCGAGTCCCTGAAAGTATAAAACTGGCACAATGTTAGTAAAACTTCAAAAGAATGCAACAAATCACGAAAAGTTACTTACCACTTTGGGCCATGTTGGCTGCTGTATAGAGATGGGAAATGGACTCGTCATCTCGTCTTCCTCTGTTGGTCGACCCTGCTCCTCCATCGTTGTACCTCTTCCCAGTCCCTGAAAGTATAAAACTGGCACAATGTTAGTAAAACTTCAAAAGAATGCAACAAATCACAAAAAGTTCCTTACCACTTTGGGCCATGTTGGCTGCTGTATAGAGATGGGAAATGGACTCGTCATCTCGTCTTCCTCTGTTGGTCGACCCTGCTCCTCCATCGTTGTACCTCTTCCCAGTCCCTGAAAGTATAAAACTGGCACAATGTTAGTAAAACTTCAAAAGAATGCAACAAATCACGAAAAGTTACTTACCACTTTGGGCCATGTTGGCTGCTGTATAGAGATGGGAAATGGACTCGTCATCTCGTCTTCCTCTGTTGGTCGACCCAGCTCCTCCATCGTTGTTTCTCTTCCGAGTCCCTGAAAGTATAAAACTGGCACAATGTTAGTAAAACTTCAAAAGAATGCAACAAATCACGAAAAGTTACTTACCCCTTTGGGCCATGTTGGCTGCTGTATAGAGATGGGAAATGGACTCGTCATCTCGTCTTCCTCTGTTGGTCGACCCTGCTCCTCCATCGTTGTACCTCTTCCGAGTTTCTGAAAGTATAAAA